TCATCATCAGTTTCTTGGTCATTCAGCATATTCCTCATCATAGGTCGAATAGGTGGCCAAGTCCAACCCCAGCTGTCAGCTCTATGCTTCTAAGACAGACAGTTGTGTCCAGGAAACTCTCTGACATGCAGGCTCGTGTGCCTGTTCTTCAGTCATTCACAGAACCCTTCAGACCATGCAAAAGTCTGTAGTTTTCAATATATTTTTGTGAGAGCCCTTCGAGAACACTATTGTCATTATACGAAAGGGTTTACCTGTTGATCTTTTTGGCCTTTAAATATGTTTTTATCCTTTGTCTTGTTTGAAAGATCACTGGGAATAACACAAATCCTATACCCTTGGAAATTTCAGTCTAACAAAACAGAGAGACATTAAACAAATCATGTTGCTAATAATAATAAGAGTTTTGATCAAGGCCCCAAAGGAAAAGTAATTATAATTAGAGTATATAATCTGGAGACCTGGCCTAAAGGGGGGAGGCGTGGAGTTGGTCAGAAAGACTTTCCTGAGGAGCTGAGTTTGTGTAGCATATTGAGATTTACCCGTGACCCATCAATTTCAAACCTTTCCTTGACTTATTTGTCAACATCCAACTATTTTTTAGAACACTGTGATTTTGCTCTCTCCCCACACATCATTTAGTCACCTGCCTGAACCCTAAGTGTCCATCACTAGCTCAAGTCAATTTCCGCTCCAAGGTGTTTTTATTACTGGCACTTTTTTTTTTTTTTTTTTTTTTGCGGTACGCGGGCGTCTCACTGTTGTGGCCTCTCCCGCCACGGAGCACAGGCTCCGGACACGCAGGCTGAGCAGCCATGGCTCACGGGCCCAGCCGCTCCGCGGCTTGTGGGATCTTCCCGGACCGGGGCACGAACCCGTGTCCCCTGCATCGGCAGGCGGACTCTCAACCACTGCGCCACCAGGGAAGCCCTACTGGCACTTTTATTCTTCTAGTCCCAAAGCCTGCCCTCTCCCCAACCAGTAATCATTTCGTTTTCTCGTTGCCTCCCAAGTCTCTTTGTTTTCATTCTTCCCGATAACCACCTTGGTCTGGACTCAGTCCACCCCCTGCCTGGATTATGCAGCAGCACCTTAGCTGGGACTACCCGGACTCCACCTGCTTCTTCACTGCATGCGGTGCAGCGTGTGCTCTCTCTGTTCATATTACTGCTCTTTGTCCATTCTGGATGTCACTGCTACACTAATGATCTGTAAACACTATCTTTATTGTCTCTCTTCTGTTCAGATACACCCAATGCTGTTTCACACTCTTGCGTTCACAATCACTCCCAAGGACGTTCATCAATCTGCAGTACTCTTTCAATCACATGTTATTCCCATTTTCAACCCAACACACAGTGCCTTCTAATTAGTTTAGGCTGACTCTCAGATAAACACACTGTAACCATTTCACTTCTTCAACTTTGCCAGGTTTTTGTGCCTGATGTGTTCACCTCATCCTGGTACCCAAATCCTGCCCATCATGCCATGTCCCCCTCAAGCACCATGTCTCTTAGAAGGTGCCACTGACTTTCCTAAGTTTCATTACTCTCTCTTGCCCTTTCTTCTGAAATTTATAATAGATATAGTCTGTACAGCACAAATCACTACTTATTATGGGCAACATAGTGTTGGCTGCTGTTTCACAAGTCTCATTTCCCCCGTAGAGGCCATGCTTCTACAGACAAGAATCATTCCTAAAATTATTTCTGTGGTGTCCGCAGCACCTAGTACAGCACTAAGCCCGAAGCAGGTGTTCAATAAATACCTAAAGACTGCTTGCAGAATGATTAATTCAAAGGTATCTTTGGGTGGGTGAAGATTTAATATCTACCATAGCTGCTCTTTTGTCCCATGTTGGGATGGTATGAATATATTTCTTAGTAATGAATAAAAGAGACATTAAATCCAGCAAATGTATGGATAATTGTAATCGTTAATAGTGATGTGTAGCCTTAAAAATAATTTATGGCATTAGAATAAAGTAGAAGGGTCAAATTAACCTTTAAGGTTAATATGCCATTGTATTCAACTAATTCCACAAATAGCCATTTGGTGCTTACTCTGTGCCTGACCCTAGGGGCTCAGTGATACACAAAAGAAGCATTATCTCTACTCTCCTAGAGTTTACAGTTAAACAGGGGAGACTGACTTTAAACAGAATTTTAATTATAATAGTGTCAAGAAGTACAAAGGAAAGATACTTTCCACAATGGCTGTGTGTGACTGCTGAGTCTTACCATGTTTAGGTCAGCTCCACGCTGAGAAGTTTTCACAGGGGAATTGTGTGGAGGAGTTTAATTTTCCTTATGTAACTGTCTTCTTAGTGATGCCCCACTGGTGAAAGGCTCAGGAGAAGCTGCTACAGGGCCATCTAATGCAGAGGAAGGAGTAACAGCAACAATTCAGTCCATCCCGAGATTTTCAGAGCTAAAGGAGACAGAGAGCATGGGAAGTTGTTGGTGGTGGACGAGGTTGCAGTAGGAACAGGAAGTTTTGAGAGTCCACCCCAAAGACTAAATTTGACCACAGCGAAGTGAGATGTGCAGCCAAAAAAGGTTTGCAGAAAACTTAGAGAATCTTAATGTATCCATTTAAATATGTTAGACCAAATCCTACGCTCAGGGACGTACACATTGGAATTCCCTTTGGCTTCAGGAGGACACTGGAAGCATTTAATGGAAAAGACATGTCTTTCAGTATTTTATACTTGCTAGTGGAGAAGATAATTTGATAGGTTCCTAATAACCGTCCTGCATAGTGAGACCAAATATTCCTCACCACTCTGCCTCATCATAGGTAAGAATGTAATGAATTACATGCCTTTCACTTCTGAAAATAGGAACAAACTATGAGACACTGCTATCTGAAATGCAAAATGTGGTAATACATTTTGTATCCAGTCAAAAACACTTCACAGCTAAAATTGAAACAGAGGCCTAGAGAGATGTGAGATTTTGTATCCTGCTATTATACCTCAGACTATTACAGTATTCATAAACATGTACCTAACTTTAAAAGTACAGTCACTTTTCAAAGTGAAATAACTACAGTTACAATGAAAACTCTCTGTTGTCCTGGTAATTTTGATTTGCTTAAATTACACCGAAACCTATGTGAGAATGTTTAAAAGAGTAGGATTTCTTTGAGACCATGTCAAGCCCTTAATGGCATTTTACTTGGCAAAGGGTGGTGTACCCGAGACCTCCCATGAAATATGAAGTTCAGCACCTTGTTTCTTTGCAGTGTCCCACGGACTTGTCCCTGCCCACATTCTGTCTGCTGTGTGAGCATTAACAGTCTGTGATTGGACTGTGAGAAAGGAGCCTATACTGGCTTTTGCCAGAGTTGACTCTAACACTGCTCTGGGATATATTCCACATTCTTGATTAATTCACTCCCCCCCACCCAACAAAATCTCACCCTTATCGTGTTATTTCCCAAATCAGGAAAGTTTAATGGCTCCCTACAGGCTTTCTCAACAATGAACTTCTATGCTATCTAATCCCTCTATAATCTGAGTTACCCATATTTTATTCAGTTTATTTTTTAGCTGTTCCTCACTCTTTCCTTCAACTCTTCATCAGAGTGTCCCTTACCCAGTATTGTACTCACACCTGCCTCTGTAAAATTACCTCCGTCTCAGATGCCTATTCATTTTACCCTCATCCTTCAAGGCTCTGCCCAAGTCCAACCCCTGACACATTGCAGACTCCCCCACTTGCCATGGTGTCTGTCTTCTCTCATCCTGTGCCAGTCATTTGTCTCTAATCAACAACCCATACGTTATTGTTTGCATTCTAGTCACTGTCTCTACCTTATAATTTTGTTTCCTTTAAAGAAACTCACTCTGCTGAACATTTATATTTTAAATAGAAAGATAATTATCCCATAAATATTTGAATGAATGATATAGATTCCCTAAATATTTGAATGAATAAAGCACAATATATAATTTAAATAAGATATTTATCCTATAAATATCCTGCAGTTACATTCCAGAATATTCTTCATAAAGATAAATATATATTATTCAAAATATTGCTCATTGCTTATTTCAGAGGTGAATATCACAGAATTTTAGAGCCAGAATGTTCTTGGTGATCATTTATTCTAACCTTATCATTTTACTTAGAAGTTACCAGGACCAAAGTGACAATATGAGACAGAAGTGTAATAAACCCTAATCTTGTGAAGAACGTCAACTACGATGTTCTCCACTAGCGCTTTCAGCTGTCTTCAGCTAGCTTTCAGCCTGCCTTATGGACAATAATAATACCTTTCTTAAATTTTTTTATATTCCATGATATTTCCATGAAAAGTGCCAGGACCGTAAGACTCTAATAACTTCTAATCTAAAAAGCACCCATGTTTCTTTCTTATTATTTTTCAAAAGTTACTAAATTTTTCAAAGGTTTCTGAAACTTGAAAAGGATTTGAAATTATAGCATAACAAAGTATTTCATGAAGTTGCAGTTGTTTTCATTATGTTTTTTAAAAACACTTTTATTGTAGTTTTTTTATATAATTACTGAACTTTTTCTAAAAAGCAGAAACTGTTGTCGTAATAGTAGCATTTAATGAAATATATCCAAACTTTTATGAATTTTCAGTGTATGCAGTTAAAAACAAATAGTTTGAGCCTGTATTACATGATATGGCAATGTATGGCTCAGGTGACCTCTCTGTGATCTTAGGTCTGTATGATCTACAGAATTTGATGCAAAGCTCAAGGAGTAAGAGGCAATTCCTTGTTAGTCCAACGTCTTTTCTATACTAGGGATAGAGACCTCTGTTCAGTGGAAGCCTTTCCCTCTTTGTGCCCCTCCCATGTCCTCATTCAGATCTGGGAGAAGGAAAGAGGTTTTCTTACTTACCAAACACCAGTTCATGTGCCTCACAGGTTGCCACTTGTGCCAGTCACAAGGATAAAAACTTGCTCATTTTAATGCTGCAGACTGAATGTTTGATATTCTATTGCATTTTATTCTACTTTTCAGATTATATTTTCTGTGAGTCCTGATCAAGTGACACAAATGTGCTGCAATGGTGACATAAACTATTGATTGAGGCTGGAAAAGTGTCTGAAACATCATCTTTTCTTTTCTTCTTTTATTTTTTTATGGTGCCTCTATTGGAACAGTCTGAGGGAAGTATATACAACATGAGTTTTATCATGAAGCTGCACAGACACTTTCAAAGGACGGTGATTCTGCTTGCCACATTCTGTATGGTGAGCATTATTATTTCTGCTTACTACCTGTACAGTGGCTACAAACAGGAAAATGAACTGTCTGAGATGGCTTCAGAAGTAGACTGTGGGGACTTCCAGCACCTACCATACAGGCTGATGGAAGTGAAGACAAGGAAGCTTTCTGATGCCTCAAGGACAGAACCCACAGTCCTGGTGTTTGTGGAGAGCCAGTACTCATCGCTCGGTCAAGACATCGTTATGATTCTAGAATCTAGCAGATTCCAGTATCACATTGAAATTGCTCCTGGAAAAGGGGATCTCCCAGCACTTATAGAAAAAACTAAAGGCAAATACATTCTCATTATTTATGAGAATATTTTAAAGTATATAAATATGGACTCTTGGAATCGAAGCCTTTTAGATAAATACTGTGTTGAATATGGTGTGGGTGTCATTGGATTCCACAAAACTAGTGAGAAGAGCCTACAGAGTTTTCAGTTGAAAGGTTTCCCTTTTTCTGTATATGGAAACCTTGCAGTAAAAGATTGTTGTATTAATCCTCATTCTCCATTGCTTCATGTGACCAAATCTTCTAAGCTTGAAAAAGGTTCTTTACCTGGAACTGACTGGACCATTTTCCAGATTAATCACTCAGCCTACCAACCAGTAATATTTGCCAAAGTAAAGACCCCAGAAAACCTTTCTCCTCCCATCCCTAAAGGTGCTTTTTATGCCACTGTCATACACGACCTGGGGCTCCATGATGGAATTCACAGAGTTCTTTTTGGCAGCAACTTGAACTTTTGGTTGCATAAGCTCATCTTCATAGATGCTGTTTCCTTCTTGTCAGGGAAGAGGCTCACATTGTCCTTGGACAGGTACATTCTCGTGGATATTGATGATATTTTTGTGGGAAAGGAAGGAACAAGAATGAACACCAATGATGTTAAGGTAAGGCTCTTTATCTCAAAGTTTGGTTTGTCTCTCAGTAGGTTTGTCTAGGGCTAAGGGATTTCCTGGGACATAGGATTTTTATTTTATTTGGAAATTCTTAGGCAAACTGGGATGAGTTGGCTACCCTCAGGTATTTTTGAGATATGGGGCTATATCTCAGCCCTAGAACAATTAAGTAGATAATACATTTTTCTCTGAATCAAGAAGAAAATGAAGATTGTACTAAAGGATTGAGTGTGGCAGAATCCTGAAATGCATTTCCGTGTGTATTTAAAACTACAGAGTAGAAACCACTTTGTTTAATTACTTTCCAGAAACTATCTACCTCAGTAAACTATTACTAATCTAAGACTTTAGTCCATTTAGCTATGAAATCCAGGTGAATTTATTTTAACGAAAATAAATACTCCCACAAATTTTCAAGAATTAAAGATCTCATAAGTAGCAAGTTCAGATGTTTCTGGAAGTCAAATGTGTGACTCATTTTCTCTTGTTACTTTTTTGAAACTCTGAAAATTAGCACTACTAAATATGGAAAGCTATGAATACACAAGCATACCTATTCACATACACACATAAGAATTTACATTAATTTTCAAAATTCATTGAACACTTCTGGTTCATATATGAAACCTATCATGCTACATTTATATTGGATTAGATTTCTTATTGTGTAAAACTGCTGCCCTTAGATAGAAAACAATTATGTGAAGATAGTTGGTTATCATTGTGAAGGGATTATATTACATAACAACTGGCTGTTTAATATTAATGGAATTTAAAATTAAAATGATCTACATTGATCTTAGTTTCCCATTCGAAATGCCACTGGATTCTATCTCTGTTATACTACATATTGATTTCACGTAAAAGCGAAAGGAGAGATTTTGTTACATAATTTTTATTCTATATAGCTTTGACCTTTTGGTAAAATATAAAGTACTGAATCAGATGGAAAAAAAGTCTTGAAACTGCATTCTTTTCTCCAGACACTAAGCATCTGGCAAGTAATAGTAATGTTCATCACACTACTTAAATGAGCTAAGAATACCAGAAGGACTATTAAATGTTACCATAAGAGAGTGTGAAGACTGAAAAGAAAAAAAACCTTTCATATTCTTGGCAATATTTTAGCCTCTTCCTTTTAAGTCAGTATAAATTAATTAATGAAGTTGTGCTTAAGTTTTCATTAGTCTTTTGAAATATTCTTTGAAAATGTAGCTAAATTAAACCAAGCTGGTAGTTTAAACATTTATTATGAAAAAAAAAACATTTATTATATCCTTGAAAATTACAAACAATTTATAATTCTCTTTCTAATTTTTCCATTTCAAAATATTATGATAAAAAAAATTTTAAGGCTTTATTTCTAAAATATGTCTTTAAAACTGTCAAAATATGTTGTTATATCATTAAAAATATGCTAGATAAATCTCCGAGTTTTTTATGCAAACTCTACTATATCCTCTAAAATTATACAAAATGCCTTTAGTGCTCTTAAGGTTAAGCCATTTTTAAGTGGTATAAAAAATTAAAACCTTACTGAATAAATTCAATAAGAATTTAACATGTGTAAAATATTTTATTAATTGCTCACATTTAGATGGGAATATATTTTCTAACCAACCTAAAGGCTTAAAAGAAAGTATGTTTTGAATTATTGGGGTTTTTGAACTACTTCTAAATTGTATCTGTGATTGTGTCTCTAAACATAGTCATTCATTCATTCCTTCATTGATTCATTCTGTAACTAGTTATTAAGCATGTCCTACATGTGAAGTAGTTTTGGTGATATGTAAATAGAAACATACACCATGGTCTTATCCCTTTAGAAGAGAGGGTGGGGAGAATAAAGTTAGAGAAGCTCAGAAAGCACGTAGGTGAAGATTGTGCTGAGCATCTTCCTGCTTAATACTTGGAACGGCCATATCACACGCCAGCCGTGGAGGTAGGCACTAGGGATACAAAGATAAATAAAGCATGGCTCCCCCTTAATGAGTGTACCACTGTCTTGGTAGGGGTGGAGTGGGAGTGATAAATAGGTAGATAGCTTGCAATGTGGTGAGTACAATAGGAAAAGTGCCTGTGTGGTTTTATGTAAGTAATGCTGTGTGAAACACTGTACTGTGTGCTGTGTACCAGAACCGTTAAGTCCTATTAAGCAGAACAGATTTGGAAGGCAAAGCTATAGTGATATAATGATTTAGGAGGCTGTAGAGATGATATTCAGACAAAAGAAGATTTCTTGAAACTAGGAAGTGAGAATAAGAATGGAGAAGGAATGACCAATATATGAACAATATCGAAGGTAAAGTTGAAAACTTAATAATTGGATCAGTGGAGATGAAAGAGAATATAATCAAGGATGACATTAAGATTTTTAACGTAGTTGAATAGAGTTGCCATGTGATTCAGCAGTCCCACTCCCGGGCATATACCCAGACAAACCGATAATTCAAAAAGATACATGCACCCCTATGTTCATAGCAGCATTATTTCCAACAGCCAAGACATGGAAACAACTTAAATGTCCATCAACAGATGAATGGATAAAGATGTGGTACGTATATACAGTGGAATATTAGTCATTAAAAAGAATGAAATAATGCCATTTGCAGCAACACGGATGGATCTAGAGATTATCATACTAAGTGAAGTAAGTCAGAAAGAGAAAGACAAGTACCATACGATACAACTTATATGTGGAATCTAAAATACGACACAAATGAACATATCTATGAAACAGAAACAGACTCACAGACGTAGAGAACAGACTTGTGGTTGCCAAGGGGGAGGGAAGGATTGGGAGTTTGGGATTAGCAGGTGCAAACTATTATATATAGAATGGATGAACAACAAGGTCCTACTGTATAGCAAGGGGAACTATATTCAGTATCCTGGGATAAACCATAATGAAAAAGAATATATATATATGTATAACTGAATCACTTTGCTGTACAGCAGAAATTAACACATTGTCAATCAACTGTACTTCAATAAAATTTTTTTAAGTTAAAAAATGATATTTAGTGTAGTTGAATAATAGGTGATTATTCCAACAACAAAGAGGAGAGAGCAAGAAGATCATAATGAAGGTCATTAGAGGTCATATTAAAATTTTCAGTTTTATTGAAGTGCATCTGGCACATTCAGGTATAGATGTTGAACAGGTAGTTGGCTCCCGAGAAGTCTGGGTAGCAAGTGTAGTTTTTGAAGTTATCATTCTAATTAGGGGATTGTTCACTTTCAGCATGAAAGTATGTGAGATCAGCCAGGGAAAGGGTTTATAGAGTGACAAGAGAAGATCAAGTGTAGAATCTTGAGGAAAATCATCTTTCAGAAAACAAGTGGAGAGAGAAAATCCTGTGAATAAGAGTCAGAATAGTCGGAGACCAGAAAGCTGTGATGCTATACAAGCCTTGGGAGTAAAGAGCTTCAATGAGGGTGTGATCAGCAGTATAAAATCTAATAGCAGGGTCCACTGAGGTAAGAAATGGCAAGTCTCCTTTGGCAAAAGTTAAAAGTCACAGGGGACTCTTACAAGATCCAGGGTAATGGAATGATCGAGGCAGAGGCACAGCTGAAGTAAGTTCAGGAGTAAATTAGAGGGTTAAGATACGAAGAAGGAGAGCTTGGAGTACTCAGTGGAGAAATTTTGATGTAAAAGAGAGAAGAGAAATTAGCTGGAGGGTGGGCTACAGTTAGAGGGACCAACTATCCTGGTTTGCTTACACTGAGGGCATTCAATGCTAAAATTCAGAGTCCCAGGCAAACTGGAATGATAGGTCTTCCTAACTAACTAGGGTAAGGGAAGGATTTTTTCCTAGGAAGAAAGATCCAAGAGCAGGTGGTCTAAGAAAAGGTCATGGATATGGTGATTAATAGTACATAATTAATAGAAATATTTTCATAAAGCTCTTTTATTTAATTATTACCACTAAAAAAAAAACAAGTTATTATACTTACCCTATTTGATGTATTAGGAAAATTGAAAAGAACGTGAGGAAATTGAAGGTGACGTAGAATGTTTCTTGCAAAATTAGAAGGATGGTTGCATACCACGTAAATTTTAACTGTGATGCTAATCACTGCAAACGTGCTTTTTTTCCTTATGTGGGACAAAAACACTGTGTTTCCTTATTTAATCAGAAGATTAGAATTAGCAATGCAATATCAGTTTTTACTTGCCTTGCTACTGAATAATATGAGCACGTTTCAAAGAGCCGCAAAGCTACAGAAGAAACTGTGACATGGCACAAAATATATGACTTTTCAAGAGGAAGAAGATAAATAAGGGACCTAAGGTGTTATCTTCATTAGTTGGAGAACTTACAAGCCACAAGCCATAGCCCTTAAAGAACCAAAGAACATAGTGTAGACAAATATTATACTACGTTCAGTAAAATTGAAGTCAGGAAGGGCGTGTGTGTGTGTGTGTGTGTATTGAACTAAATGGACAAGACTTGTCTCAAATTTACCATGGACTAGTTTTGTGATGTTAGAAAATTCAAGTTCCTAGTGTTCTAACACCTGTCCTCAAACTTCCTGAGACTAGTGGTTTTTGGAGAAAGGCTTCTTGGAGAGGGAAAGTGGGTATATAAAGAGATACTTCTCCCATTAAAGCATTTTAAAGTTATACATGAAAGCACAGCATGACCAAATGAATACTAACAATTCAAATTCTCTCTTAGAAGAATGAATTCACTCGGCCTCAGATGCATTATACCTTTAGACTTAGACTGTTTCGTATAACATTTCAGCCCTAAGACAGGAAGTGGAACAGGGAGGAGGCTCTGATAAAAGTGGTCTTAAGGGTTTTACTGAACTCTCTGCAGGTATACTCTCAACAAATAAAAGAGCTGCATATCACTCTCATGCCTATGTTTCTCCCTCCTTCTCCTTCTATAATAGGCACACGCGCTCTTTCTAATGTTGACAAACTTTCTAACATCCGTGAGAAAATGAAGAAGCAGCCCAGCTGTATCTGAGCACACTAA